GCTTTCTGCCAACAAATTGTCTTCAAATGTCTTTATATTCCCCTCCCCATCCGTGTCACAATGTTGATGTTGATTGGTTCCATGTTGTCCAATTATTCCAATATTGATTTAGGGGATAGGAAGATCAAAAATTGAATCAAAATAATTCACTGTTAGTTTGTATTTGGCCAGCTGATCATGTATGCTCCTAAAGGTCATGCTCTACTGGCTTGTTCCTAGGAGGATTCTCACAATCTTTTAGATATCCCTTGCATATAGATCACAATTTCTCACAAATCTGTTTGATTAGATTAACAGTGCCATCAAGTGTCACCTCCCCTTAAGCAATGCTAGTAAATTGCCCTCCTTCAGTTCACTCAACCCCTTATACAGTCTTTTTCACCTTAAGTAGTCCCTCATAAGACATAGAATGATTATGAATTTGTTATGGTTTGGAAGTTTTAACTTAAATATTTATCAAACTGTCATATGGTATCATACCTTGGAGAATCTTGGTGATTAACATTCATTTTGTGACATCAACTTGTAGCTCCCAAATGTTAAGAAATAGTTGTTTCTAAATATTGATATTTTTAGGTGTAGGTATCTGAGCTCTGAAAGGGAAACTATGCTTTCTGTACATGATGAAATGTCGTCAATGCCAGAAGGTATGACATTTTAAAAATTAGCAAGCTTGAATATCAATACTGAACCTGACTGAGCAGAGAAGTGGTCCAAACCTGTAGTAATTTAAGCACAGTGCCTACTAAATACAAAGGTTTTTGCGCCAGGTTAGGACCACGTGGAAAAAGTAGATCTTTGCAAGGGCTATTGGAATCCACAAAGAAAAAAGGGGGTAGCCTTGCATTTTTTCTAAATGATTAGCCTTGAATCTCAATAAAAATGCTGACATCAGCATTTTCTGAAAAAAAGATGGAAAGGATATTTCTTCACAGATTTCCTTTGAATTCGCATTTACAAACAGAAAAGCAAACACGTTTATCAAGATCTTAAAACTACAGGGTAAGTGGTAACATAAAAACCATTTTTGGTTTGTTTTTAATAACAAAATCGTTGCAACAGCGCTTTTAGCGTCTCTGACAGCCTTCCTCTGGTTCA